CGTCATCAGATTAGCACCTCGGATGACGTGTGGTCTAATCCCACCACCGTCGGCCTACGTTCCCCATTACGTGTTGTACAGCAACCCTTCGATTGGCAGTTTCCCTCTCCCTGGAAATTGTGGGATCGTATATCCAATGGAAGTAAATAAAAATGTGAGTTAAATACGAAAATCAATCAAGCCCTGTAGGTATGTGATCAGTGGCCCGTAACCTGCATGGAAGTCCTGACTTGGTGGTGGCTTTCGATTGGGGTTAAAAGGTTTTACCTGTGTCTCCCTTCGTTGCTGTCGGGCAAATGAACTGACTGACTATCATTGAAGACAACACCTGAACAAACATGAATTGGCAATTTGGTTCAGTTAGAGCATGGCGCAGTGGTTACGTACACGCATTCCATGCGATGGGTCCGGAGTTCAAATCCCGGACAGGACGGTCGATATGCACTACTGATTCGCTCTAATAAGAGCGAAACTTGAGTCTAGTGCTTCCGACTGTATGGTTGAATCGATGAACTGGGGATTGTGCGTGAAGGTGAAGTCCGAAGGATAGTCAGTCAAATCAATCAATATCGATCATCCCACACACACTACTCACTAATAACTGTGCGTTAATTACGAAAAATGAAAAAGTACTGTACCTTAGTCTGGTAATAGGGGCTAATTCTCCGCTTTTCTCAGTGTACCAAGTGCTCTTTCAATAAGATATTTTCGCCCTGATAAGGTTCAGTCATTTGTCGATAGCCGGGTTTTACGAAGGTGGTTTTCAACTTCTCATAAACTGCAAATGATGGCTGAAAGCCAATCAGTTCACCAGTTGAGTTTTCATATTGAACTTCCATATAGACCTCCGAAGAGAATAGTTTTAATGTGGTTTTATCCAGATTCGCTGTGAAAGTTCTATAGACGTATGACGCGGGATCTACTATAAGCTTATTTCTGAGACCAAAAGCATTTGTTTGCCACATTGTTGTTCGTCCAACTAATTAGTCGAGGTGATTTACGCATTAAAATAAGTCGAAGGTTTGACCGTACTGAGTACGTTAAAGCAAACGCCGCAATCATGAGAAATGCTTACCCAAGACCTTTGCAGTAGACTCCATCGCTAGCGTACCCAACTTTCACGTCAAGCTTTTCATCGTCTCACCTTGTACCAGCAGTATTCGCGGGTTACTCGTAAGGGTGAATCGGAACGGAGACAGGCAATACGCTTGAAAGAGCTACGTAACTTGATTCAAGAGGAGGTTGATCGTTTTACATCGTTTGTGGAATAAATTGAAAGTTGATAAATTCACAATCATAGAGCGAAGTTACACAAATAATCCTCAACTGGTAATTAGAGAAGAAACTCCCAGTGAATCGGGCTTGTTATAAACATATTTCCGCTTTGAATCTGGACAGAAACCCTTGGGAACATTTTTCGTTTTCGGCGAAATGTTTGTTGTCCATCGTGTAGTACAAACAGCTCCATATGGAAATTCAATTTGAAGGCTTATCTAATCAACTGGTTAGTTTGCGGTCATCGTCTGATTTTAACAATCTTACTATGAGTATTTGAAACGGAAGCATTATTTATACATAATCTGAAATTAAAGAAGAGACAACATGCATCATAAAGTGGAAAAGAGTGATTTGAGTGCTCGAGCAGTGCATTAGCTCACGATGATGACATTTTACTACAGGAAAGCATACGGGAACCTTCCTTACTATATTCGTTAATAATTCTTTCACTGTTTCTGTTTACTATGCATACCTGGTGCGCAAAATGAGCTGTTAAAGAACGTGATGACTAAAACCGTATTGTATACTAACCCTTGAGTGAAGGTTCTCGACTGCAGTATTTGAGTCCCGTAGTTTTATCTAACCGCCATAGGTGGTATTCGTTCATTCATAATGTCCATTCTCGTTTAAACTGACCTTCCAGCAAACCAGGTGAACAGCTCACACATCATTTACTGTTGGTGTTGTCGTCGGACTGGATATACGGCCGCTGGAATTCAAAGTAAATCCGTATTTGTCTTTATGAGATTCACCACAGGAGTTCAGATAAAATAATGCACTCAACGCATTTGGAAACCACCTCAAACGGACATGAGCAGTCAGTAAAGCCTGAAACGAAAAGACTGCACCTTGATGTAGTGTGATGGCTTGTGCACCTTTGTGACCCAACGGGTTTCACAGGATTGCTTTTATCAAGCAAGAGATCTTGACAGACTTTCAAGCTCTGTAGCTCTGCACCTTCAAAGTGCAAAGTGATGCTGCAAGACTCGCCGAGTCCCGTTCTGAAGCTAGATTGTCAGTAATTAGATGAAGTTGACCGCTTCTCGTGCATGGGTAGCTGCGTGACCAACAACAGTAGCGCGCCAAAGGAGATAACCGCCCGAATTTCCAATCCTCGAGCTGCGTACGCTGGGCTAAAACAGCTTTTACCATGACGTGACGTTGCACTGAAGTTAAGAAGTCTCGTATACTGCGCCACTGTACAATCAGTTCTGCTTTACGCTGAGACCTTGAATTTGCGGATAGAACACATCTGTCGCCTAGTGGTTTTCAACAATCGATGCGTACGTATTCTGGCCCAGTTTGGATAGAGTGAGCGGGTTAGAGACTTAGAAGTAAGTCGTTGGGTATTTGGGAATGCATCGAACACGAGCTCGCTATCGCATCGAACTCAGGTCAATAGGCTCCTTTGGTTAGGACACTTTTTGCGTATGTCTGACGCTCGCCTTCCACACTGCTCCAGAAGACTAAGTAATTAAATGGTTGGAGACGCTGAAGGTCATGGCAGCAAACCGACAGCAGTGGCGATCTTGTTGTCACTTCTTATCGGAACGGNATTGAGTGTTGACCATGGTGGTTCGCTTTCTTTTCCCGTCCCTAAAACTAGGTGTAGTTCCTATTCTCCACACACATTCTCATTTACTGTGTATGACAGTGATCAGTGAAGTTGGCTTCACTATCTTACGTTGTACGATGGTGATATTGATGATGATAAAACGTTGACCAGAAGCAGATCAACATATGCTGTATCAAATAACTCGACGGGCGGTGGTGGTCAAGTGGTTAGCTCACCAACTCGTGACCTGTGACTCCCGGGTGCGAACCGCTCCACCGCTGCTCGTCTTCCCTATTTCTATATTTTCCCAGGCAGCTTTTGTATGGCCGCGGCCCCCTCCTGAAAGTTGACTGTACATTTGTGTATTTAATAAATAAAAAAGGAAGTAAAAAGACATTTATTTTGTTTACTGTGGAAATGATCGTTCAATAATAGAAACATCGAACTAGAAAAATTATCCATCTACTGCTAATATTTTCTGCACAATATGCTTAATTTTAGCTACTCCAGTGGATGAAGATGATGACGAAACTGTTATAATGATAAAGGAATTACTGGACTCACGAATTCGTCCAACCGTGCAAGAAGATGGGGGCGACATTACTTTTGTGGTTAGTCTTTTGTTTCACATTATGATTGCCAGTTAAATAAATTCAATCGTCTCAGTGTTTCAACTAATTTCCCCATTTGTGATATAAAGGTAAATCACCTACTTCACTGATGAGAGTTTTGAGTTGTGAAGTTACAGCTTTTAAGGATAAAAAAAGTTTCTACGTGATCTGATTTATCTGGGTTTTGATTCATGAAACTCCATCTGTGTCCCCAAGAAAGAACTATTCATAAAAATCCCATTTAAGGAGGACTTACACCCAGAGAGCCTAGTCCAATCACTGAGAGCGGCTGTGAATTCCACTTTCCCCGCAACCGAACTTGGACCAGTGTTCTCTACATCACCGGTGATGCGAATTCAAGTGAAAGACAAACTGCCGAAATTGACCTCATTCATGATGATTTACTCTCTCAAGTGCGTCTGTGACGCATGCTGCATAGGTCGTACGGTAAGGCGTTTGTCTCAACGCGTTAAGGAGCACCTCTCGCGATGGTCACGTCAGGGGAACACCGGCTGTATCTCAATCGCGATCGTGGGGCATCTCGTCGACATCGGGCATAGGATCGAACCGGAGAAAGCTTTCCATGTCGTTTATCTAATTCCAATCAATCGATCGAGGGCGGCCCGAGTTTGGACACTGGCTATGGCCGAGGCGATCGCCATTCGCTTACTGGGCCCCAACCTGTGCCCAAAAACGACTGGTGCAGGCGCTCCAAAAGCCTTGACCGCAACCCGAGACACCCACTCCGGACCATACTAAGGCTTTCGGATGCGGTCGCAGCTGAAGTTACCTACTTTCAACGTTCAAACACTTATGCAAGTTGGGGTTCAGGAGACATTCGTTTGCGCATTGGAAACGATGACCGTCGACGTCTGCTGCTACTGGGGCTTTCGGAGGTCATGTCGTAATACATGAGAAGTACCAATCACTGGCTGCCGTTTAGACACAGCGCGTTTCGCCGCTGCATTTTGTTACCAATGTCTTCCGTGGAAGTCAGCCTTAGCTCCCTCCGGTTGAAAACCATATCCATCTTACAGGGCGTTATGCAATTCGCTATGCCCATTCGTGGTGCTCAGGTCACTGGATCCGATAACCGAACGTTAAGTCACTGATTCATCCCACTACTAATCATCGCATTCAGGTGATTAATAAGAAGTATTTCATTTCTTATGCTTTTTTAAATACAATGAACGTAGATAGTAACCAGTTCACCCTCTTTTTTTTGCTCTCTGCCTTTGTTTCAGGAGTTCAAAGATGGCATTGTTCGGTTGAAAATGCAAGGTTCTTGTTCTAGTTGTCCGAGTTCGGTAGTCACGTTGAAGCACGGAGTGCAAAATATGTTACAATTCTATGTGCCTGAGGTGCTCGGAGTGGAACAGGTGGAAGACGAAGCAGATCTAATTTCTCGGGAACAATTCGAGAAAGTTGAAGAATCCACAAACAAAGCTAAGTGATCTGTTTGGTCCATCGTAGCAACGAAGTATATGCTGCCAAGACAGGCTAGTAACATTTCATGACTACAGCCATGTTGTGGAGACAACTATTCAGTCTTTTCTCAGCGCTCTAGGTCCTATCATGCGCGTACTGGCTCATCGTGTTCCCTGAACGCCAGTTGATCGCACCAGTAGCAAGTGATTCAAAGCATTTCTGTCATTTCTGCGTACTTTTTGCGGAATCCATCCGAAAAAGGTTGGACATGTTAGACTAAACCGACCGACATACAATCACTGGGTTTATCAACATACATTGACCTGATGTTCCCCCCCGATATCTTGTAAATAATATCAAATAAATACATTGATTGCATTCACCGGTTATGTGATTTTGCATCACTTTATTTCATTCGATTCAGTCTTTAGATATAAAAGTGCAGTCTTGGGATCTAATTTGGAGGAGTCAGACAGGGGTCAGCTGGCATAAATATAGGAGCGCACAGTGCTCCTGAACGGTAAAATCTGCAACTGCTGTTAACAACTGGTACGGGTTTCGCGCAATGTACCCATATATATGAAATACACTAATGCTTTTTTATCCGACTGATCAACTATCACTAAGCTTTGTTGGAGAGTGTACATGTTACTCGCGGTAGTACGTCATCTTTCGTAGTAGTATTTAGGTAGTTTCTTGTCTATGAAACCTGTTACTCTATCCTTGATCAATCCAATGGTTCGAGTGCAACTGACTGCTCACTGCTTCCCCACTAGTTGAGCATATATGCTAGAACAAAACAAGCCCACGTGCACCTTTTCCATTTCAAACCTCCAAAGATCGTTACCTTCATTTCAACCGCTACTTATTCCACTTTCCTCGACTAATTCATGCTAAAGTCATGCTTTGATGCTAATCACGACCACCAGATCACTCCCAACGAAATTACACGATTTTTTAAACGTGCGTAACAGATTTGTTGCGGCCGTTGTCTGTAAAACTTGTTCACGGAAAGCTGAAATATTTTGTTGGGAGTTGTTTTAACGTACACGGATCAAACATTTGTTGGGAAGATATTATGCCACGAGGCAGCTTTATCCGACAAACGTGAATCGATATTGTGATCAGTGAGAGGCCAAGCATAATCACGGCTGGGGTCTAAGTCAAGGAAAGTTAAGCTTTATGCAAGGTGAATTTCTAGTAGTTTACAAGTATCAGTTCAGTGCGGTTCTTACAATCATTAACCATGCACTTTCGTGTGCCGGTTTTGGTTGTTCACTTGGATAAGACAGCAGAATGAAGACTTTAATGTTGGGAGCAAATTCAAGCGGAAGAAAGCTCATTTACCTAGACTGATGTTACAAGAATAATGAGTAGATGAATAAACGCCATGGTTGCAACACCCAGCCATATCACTCAGTGTCTCTAACCAACGTTGACCATGATCTCGGGATCCCCAGCCAGGGAGCCTAACAGGACCTATGTGAGCACGTCTATTGGTCATGGTTTTCATACCCTCATACCATGTCTTAGATGACCGCCCTTGATCTTCTTCCAACCGCTACCTGCCTCGGCAAACATCACTCGTCGTTGCAACCTATCTGGTGACATGGTTAACACATACCCCAACCAACGTAATCTATGGACGTTAACTACTTGCTCTAGTGAACAATCACGGTTAACTAAGACTGCGCCTAACCTCGTTCGGTTACCCCATCAGACGCGTGTATACGACGTAGACAGCGGTGTTTGAACACCGACAATTAATTTCTGTCCTCGTCCCGTAGTGGCAAGTCTCTGCACCGTAGAGCAGGATTGTCCGAGCTGCTGCATCATATGCTCTATCCTTCATAGACAGCCGAATTTCACGACGGTGCCACAGGTGTCTCAAGTTGGCGGATGCCAACGGAACCTTTTGTATGCGTACTGACACTCTATCTGTGGTGCGTCTGCCAGGTGAGATATAGCTGCCCAGATAGCAAAATTTGTCTACTTCCCCAGTTAGGGTGAGACTGGGTGCTGGATCAACCCAATCTTGTAGTAGCATTTTACACTTTCAAGGTGCAAAACGCATACCGAACATGGCAACACTAGCACTCAAACTATCCAGAAAAGATTGCAACTTACCTGGTTCTTCACTTAGTAGCACAATGTCATCTGCATACTCTAGATCAGACAGTCTGCCACCCAGAAGTAAATCAATACCGCTATCCCTGCACCAGGATAGGGCTGTTTCAAGAATTAAATCTATAACAAAGTTAAACAGAAATGGAGAGAGAGGACAACCTTGTCGTACACCATGTTTCGGTGGTGAACTCGGGTGAAAAAGTGCCGTAAGCTCGGACTCGGCTCCCGTTATTAGTATAGAGCGATTGTAATATTGAAATAAACTTCTCGGGCACACCCTTCAGGGA